TATATATATATGTGTGTGTGTGTGTGTGTGTGTGAGTAGGGACTGGAGAGATAATGTAGACAAACGGAATTTTTTTGTAATTTATCACTCACAAAATATAGTCCACTTTTTATTAATTGTTTGTAACAAAAGGAGATATTATTTTATGAGTGAATAGGCTTATAACTAGGAGCAAAAAATATAACAAAATTACCATGCTGTTTAGTAATGACATTTCTGGTAAAAAGAAACCATAATTCTGAATATTAAAGTTGATACATACGGTATTTAAACATTTCATTTGATAATTTTCCATTTCAAATGGTAATAGTTTACCGGAAATTCTGGATTTCAAAATTATAATTCTTATACTATCTTTAGCAAAAAAAATCGAAACTTAAAAGTAAATTAATCGGAGAAATGCCATTGGTTTTATGCCATGCATTAATGTATAGTGCTAAAATTACCAAATTTTACCATATTTGCCGAAATAATAATAAATCCTATTTTATTATTAATTTTATCAAAATCATTACCAAAAAGTACCATGCTTTTTGGTGTATCAATAGAGTCTTAAGCACGTTAAATTTTACCACATTTTGTAGTTCTAACCATACTTTTTTTTACCAGTTTTCCGATTTTAATAGTCACTTTGGAACAGAAAATGAACTTAAAAGAACAAATGAATACGTAGAAATGAATACATAACTATTATGGACACGATGGTTTCGTGAATTTCGATAAAATTCAATAGTGACTGTCAATTCACATTAATGCTAACAGGAAATTCTTTTCGAGTTACGTTTTACTTTTTTAAGTTTTTTATTGTTAATTTTATCAAAGGTATTACCAAAGTACTACGGTAAAAATTACTGAGTCTTTTGGTGTTCATATTCTGGTAGCTTTGACTATACTTTTTTCCTCAGTGTATGTAAAACTTTTATGTGTGAACTAAACAGTGTAAACAGTGTATGTATTTATGTATGTACTAAATGTATGTACTATTATGTATGTACTAAACATATGTATGTACTATTATGTACTAAACAGTGTATGTATTTATGTATATGTAAAACTTTTCCATTAAAAATCTTACAATTACACTTGATATTAAATTATACTTGCTTAAAATTTCACTTGACATTCACTCAGTACAGTGTTTTTAGACTTGAAAAAGTTACATAGTGGTTTTACCTTTTTAATCACTTGCCAGACTGAGGCTAGTGTGACAAAAAACAGCTATTTTTTGAGAAAAGATTAGTAAAGTAAGTTTACTTCAAAATTAGCTTAAGCATCATACAAGATGAAAACTAAAGTTTAAACTTTAATAAAAAATACTAAATATTTTCAAAATAATAATTAATAATAATTAACAATGTTTTCAAAATAATAATAGTTACCTTTTAAGTTGTAAATTAGTTCAGAACTCATAAAAAAAACTAATATGAAATTATAATAGCTCATAATTATTAAAATGATTATAATAATAAATTGCTGACTAAAATATGCAATAAGACAGTAAGAAATTAATTCAAATGAACGTTTTAGTTAGTTTTCAAAGCAGAATTCTTGCTCACAATTAGAGGAATATCCGCCATGCTTTCTTGAAATATTGCGCTTTTTCAAGTAGCGTGCTTTTTTTAAAATATTATATTTTTTTAATTAGCATGGTTAAATAGCTACATAAAAATTATTAATAACTAAGGAGTTTTATTTCTTATAAGGCAATGATGATTGTTAAAAGTTTTTTCTTAAATTTGAATGGTCAAATTAAAATTGAAAATTTGTTTGAGTGAAAAAATATGAAACTTGTTTCTAAATGAAGCACAATTTTCTAATTAAAGAAAGGTAAAGAAAAAAATTATATCATTATAAATTTCTCTACACTTCAAATATTATATTAATGAACATTTATTATTTTCGTTCTTCAAGTTATTGTTTAATTTATAAATTGCGCGTAATTTCCTGACTAAAGACATAATGAAATAATTTTAATAAAAACATTGACAGCAAACAAAAAATAAACGTAGCTTCTAAAAAGTTAGTTTCATATGTTCTATGAAGATTAAAAGTAAACGCAGAAATTAAATTGTTATTTAAATAATACTTCTTAATGTTTCTTTGAATTAAAGTTTTCAATTAACTTTGTTTAATAGAATTATGTATCATGGGTTTTTATGGTATTTCAGCGTATTTGTTAACTTAATCCTGTTAATTCAAGAAATCATAGTTTAGAGAATTTATTCACAATTGAAATGGAAATAAGAAGCACAAGATATAAAGAAGACCTTACTTTTTTTTATTTATTACAGAAAGAGGAATTTCCTGATTAAAATGCACATATTTGAAAAAGAATGATGAAATATTCAAATGGGAAGAGAAATAAGAAAATGCAATTGAAATGCATGTAAAATAAAAATTGGGAATTGATCTTTTTTTTTGATGTGGCACAATTCTGCCAAAAATTATATGTACTGTTTAAATGAGGGGACAGCTGATTGTTTTTTTTACATATCGTGACAAAAGTAAGTATAAAGTACACCGAATTGCAGTTGTGTACAGACTATAAATTAAAGATTGTAGCGGCAGTTTTATTTCATACTTAAGCCTTTATCAAAATAAATAAACACAAGGTAAAAAAACGACAATACAAAATCTTACAAGCTTTAATTTTTTTTCTAAAAATATATGAAAATTACTTGTCACAATTATACACCATTACTCAAGTGTAACAGGATTGCAAAATTAAAAGCACATAAAATATTGTTGAGCATGAATTAATTTATTTCTCTGTGAAAAATTGATTGAAAAATGTTTTGCATTTTATTACGTTTCCCCAAAACAAAAATCTTAGATAAATATTTTGATTACTGTTTTATATTATGCAAAATACACATGATGTTTGGGCAAGAGTGCCAGAGATTTATATATTATAATAGCCGAAGTATTTGGTGAGAGGGGATCAATGTGATTGGAAGAAGATTGGATTAAAATTTTTGAAATAACTTAAAAGTTGTGTGGGATGGCGATCGCTTCTAGAGATAAAGAGGCGATTTAAGTCTTTCTTTAATCACGTAACAAAAGATGATTTAATGAAGAAAATGTATCTATGTAAGAGTACGTGGTAAGGGTGCGCGTAGTAAAGGTGGTTAAGACGAATTTCGTTGAAAAAATGTAAGAAAAGAAAGAAAAAATGTATTGAATGGGTGTATTGAAATTGTATGGGTGTATAGAAATTAAAAATATTGATTTGATTGAAATTAATGATCGGTAGTGTATATAATATTAAAAAATGACGAACCTATTATTTTCAATGAAACAAACAGAGACTTTCAATTAAAATATGTATTGCGAGAATAAGCCAGTCACATTTACGGTGGCTCAGGGGATAAAGCGTTTGCCTCCTGCTGAGGTGACCCAGGTTCGATTCCCAGCGGTTACTGGTTGATACGAATTCCGCTCCTGGCTGACGTAAACAATCATCAGTGATATACCGATAGCGGGTTACAATTACTTTGCCATCGGGCTAACCGTGGGAGGTTTTTGCAGTTTTCTTCTCCATGAAACGCAAATGCAGGTTAGTTCCACCAAAACGTATTCCACGAAGGTTAGTTTGTCTTAATGCTTTATTCAGGGATTCCCTTGTTGTCTGGGTTGGGTTCCAAATTGCTAGGCTATGGAGATGATAATTGATAGTCGTAAAAGAATTCAGTCGGCTTTCTAGTATTGGTTACAAAATAAAATAAAATAAAATAAAATGCTGGTTATGAGATAAATCTACATGCCAATAATTTAATTAACTTCCAGTAAATTATGATTTTTAAGTTTCATACAGATAAAAAATGCAGGTGTAAACTGATTTTAACTAGTTGTAATTTATTTTATTTCATTATCGGCCAATTTTGAGCAGTTGACCAGTTATGAGTTAACTCAGCTTTGTAATTTTGTAACTTTGTAGTTTGGAACCCAAACCAAGAAGACAAGGGATTTCCTGACAAATAAACTGACTTAAAACAAACTGGCCTTCGTGGAGAAATTTTTAAGGAAATTTTCCGTTGCATGAAGAGAAAATTCACGAAAGCTTCCCTGTTAGCCCGGGGACTCTAATCCTTGTTCCACCCACCACTGAGAATATTTTGTGTCAGCACTGTGGTTGGTTCAAGCCGGTCGTTAAATTCGTATTGAGCAGCCATCGCTGGGATTTGAACCCGTACCACTCCTTTGAGTCACCCATTGAGGATATTTTACTTCATCCCGGTGTGAGGCGGGGGTAGAATTCGTATCAACCAGACACAGCTGGGATTCGAACCAGATCTACCTGATTGTGAAGCCAACTTTTTATTCCCTGAGCCACCACGACTCCAGTTATAATGCAATTCGCTTTGGATAGAAGAAAAAGGAACTATATTTTTCTTTATTCTCTCAACTGGTCAAACTCTTTATAGCTTTTTTAAAATACAGCCCGCCACATCAGACAT